TGTGCAGTGAAATTCAAATACATACATACTTGATTCTAAAGCTGCTGCTATAATTTTTTTGCTTTTGTTTTTGCATTGCGTTTTCTACCGCGTGTTTATCCACTCTACCATTTACCAGTCACCAAGGTACCTTACCTTATTTGTAATTTGATGCTAATTTCAGAAAGTTTGGTTAGGGCTCGGTTGGCTTTTGGTTGTGTAGCTTTAAGTCAGAATTTGGCGCATTTTTCTCTATGCGCTCTGCTGTCTATAAGCAGATTTGCAGCTGATAAATTTCCAATTGATTTCAATATACCTACCTGCGGATACTTAAATAAAAAATAATAAAAGTAGAAATTAAATACAAATCTTAAAAACGATTTGACTTTGAAATGAAATCTGATGGAAGGAAAAAAAAATAACTTCAATTAAATTGCTGGTGAAACCGGCAGTTATGTAACTTATACGAAACGAATGAAATGGTAACATAAAGATAATACAATTTCGTAAAGTTTCTATAGGTCTATATAAATATATTTCTTTCTATTTGTTTCGAAGATTGCAAATTCTTGCATGCTCTTATTATTTAGGTATATAAATATATCCGTTCATATTTTACCTAAAAGACATGTGTGTAAGCAATTTGCAAGTGATTACCTTTTCCTTGCAGGTGCTACAAACTCAAAAATCGTTTGTTTGCCTATAATTTTCCAATGAACAAACAAAATGCCTTGATCATTTTTACTTATGGATGTTATTTTACGAAAGCAGATAATATTTAAGTACTCGAAGCAATAATTGTAACGACCGATTGATAAAAAATCAAAACGAGCAAGCAAACTTGTAGCAACGGAACAATACTCAAGGAATTGTTAAAATACCTAATTAATTGTTAAAAAAAGCGTGCAAGTACATATAAATGGTTTCTACTTTTATCGGGCTATTGGGTGAGTGTATGCAAATCGCATTTGACTATCAACAGAATCCAATGCAACGTAATTTGTATCTTTTCAGACATTCAATCATGGTGGGAGATACCGTGCATATCTCATTTTTGTTCATTGTTTAGTTCTGCTTTTGATCTGCCCGACATCGATATCGAGGTATGTTTTAATTGACAATTTTTTCGCTAAAATATACATACATACATGCACATAAATGTATATATAAAATATACCTAAACCTTCGAATTTTTATTATTCTATTACGCTTACATTTTCTATTTCCTTACAGGATCTTGAGTCGGCGCTTCTATCGGATGGCACTGATGAAGATCAAATTGCGCTTGTACCGGAGTTAATTGTACGCCTACTAAAGGGTTGCGATGCACTCAAATCGGTAGCAAAAGAAATAACCCATAGCAATTATCAAATGTTCTTGCGGCGTTTTCTACGCCAACAGTGTCCCATACACAATACCGAGAATCATTTTGATACGGACATTGACTTTCAATCGCTGCCGGTGCGCAAACGCTTGCAAATACTACATGATTTATGCCATTTTCGTCTCGATTCATGTGATGTACAAGTTATATTAAGCAATTTGGAAGCGGATAGCTTGCGTGTCGAGCCGCTCGGTTACGATTCGAAAAATTCTGGCTATTGGTATTTCTATGGCACGCGATTGTATCGCGAGGACAAGTCTACATCGTCAGTGAATAGTCATAGCGGTGGTGGTGGTGGAGGTGGAGGTGGCAGTGGCGGTAATAAATCGGCGACGGCAGTGGTTAACGGCAGCCGTGGCAGCGGTGAAAATTCAGATGGTGCTGTATGGCAAGTAATTTGTTTTACCGAAGAGGATTGGCAGAATTTGGCTAGTAAATTTAAATCATCAACAAATGCTAAAGAACGCGAATTATATCAGATATTGGATGAAAATTTTCTACCCAAGTTACCACAACTTTTCCGCGAGCGAGAGAGATTACGCCGAAGAAAGTGAGTAAATGATTTTTATTATTTCAAAAGTATATATGTATGTACAGAGGGAGCCAAAGCAAGCAAAAGTAATTTGTTTGCCTTAAATAATCTAGATTTTTTGCTTATCTTCAGCTGCTTATTATTAGAAACATTTAATTATCCATACAATCTGCAAAAAATTTACTTATGTGTGTACATTTCGCACACCTAGAGCTAAAGTGCGATCAACTCAATAAAAAAAGTAGGGACATTTTTTGGCATAAATCAATTCATAGGATTTACAGTGGTGGGAAATTAAATATACAAGATTCGAATTTCAGAACATGCCTGATAGACACGACATTTTAACAAATTTTTCCTATTTTTCTTTTGTTTATTTAATATTTATTTTTTTTTTTTATAAAAGTACAGCTTAAACCATATAATTTGATATTTCAAACTGTGTGCAAAAAATATAAAAATTCTGCCAATTAATGGGCTATAAAAGTACATACTCAAAAAAATTCTAAAAATCTTTTTAAACAGTTGAAAATTTACACGCAATTTTGCAGAATTTTTATAATTTTTGCGCAAAGTTGGAAATATGAATTTATATGGTTTTTGTTCGATAATGAGCTATAATTTTATAAAAAATAATAAATATTAAATAAACGAAAGAGAAATAGGCAAAATTTGTGAAAATGTCGTGTCGTATTTTTCCACCACTGTACATCCAATTAATGCAAATTTTTTTTTCGTCATAATTATATACATTAATTAAAAAAATACTGTTATACATTAATTGCAATGAATCTGTACGATCCACAAACTGTTATATTTCCCTCTCTGAGTGAGTTTGCTCACTTTAGATCTAGCTGTCCGATATGTATTTACGTACATACGTAGCATTAGTGCAGCTGGGCTTAAAACAGTTCCACGCTTACAATTAAGTGGGTTGAAACCTTAGAAGAGCTCATCCACAGTCTCTAGTATTCATGCTGACAATATTTAATATATATTATTAATATGCTATTGCCGCTAAACAATTTTCTTATGTACATATTTTAAAACATTAATTTCCATTTCTCTTATTTTTTACTCCCATAGGCTACTACAAGTCCGCAATTCGACACGCTTACGTAACATCGTCGAGCTAAAAGCGCGCCAAGAGCAGGAACGTTTGCTGCGCGAACGTCAACGTTATCCATTTGAGCCGCCAACCAATTTGAAATCTCAGCAGTTATCCGCACAGAGCAGAGCAAGAAGACGGTTAGCAAGAGAACTTGCCAATAACTCTTCTACCAATACTACTAGGGACAGCCACAATTGAAAGAATGAAATAATAAAAAAAATTAAAACAAAAACGACAAATCTTCAAAATACCAACAAAACGAAAAAAAGAAATATCCAAACACCATAACACTTAGAGAACTGTAATCAAATGAAAATTAATGCGAACGCATATCAATTGCTCATTATTCATTAAAATACACCGAACAGCAACCGAACAAACGCAAAGTTAAAGGAATCATAGAGTACAGAACACTGAAGAGCCATCAACATACACGCACGCATGCAAAATCAAACATACATGTATATTCGAGAGAGCACATAAATATATTTACATACATATGTACATTTATTACACACATTTCTTGTTTTATGCGTGCAATGCCTTAAAATGTTATAACTTCATAGTATAACTAACTAGTATAACATACATAAATGCCGACATAGTACGTACATAGATCCACATGAGAAAGCAAACATACAAAATCTAAGATTTTTATTTTCCCCAAACATAACCGCTTGTTTCATTTTATATATGCTCATGATTTTTCTGTGCTTGGAATTTGTTCATACCTATGCTGTGAACTGTTTCGATTACATTTATTTAAATAATTAAATTATTAACAACAACTATACTTATTAACTTCATTCGTTCATTTGAAGCACTGCTAAAAATTTCTTTGTATAAAAAAATGAAAAAACCTCAACAGACATTCACGTTAAATTGGGAGTAGCATTTGCCAACAAAAAAAAAAATCAGTTAAAATTTGTTTGACACTTCATAAGACGAGTAAACTAAAACCGATAACCACCATTCACGCAACAAAAGTCAACTCATCGCTGCGACAGCACAATAGAGCGCTAAAAAAAAAAAAAAAAAAGAAACAAAGCCTTTTTTGGTTAACCCAAAATTAGCATGCAAAAAAAAAATTAATGCTCTGCGACATACAGACAGACAAAGTGCGTCGTTCCATGAAACTAAGCAGAAGAAAATCGCGCTCAAGAATCGAAACGAAAATACCGGCATAAAGAATTGACAAAAAAATAATAATAAATAAAAGCACATTTCTTTGAGAAGAGCCAACGGGAATGGCGACAGCAACAACAACTGCAGCAATGGAACATGTAAAATTTAACGACAACGACAGCCATTAATTTACATACGTTTATTTCGGTTATTGTGATTCTAAAACACAACAACAAATTGGACTGAGTGAACTTACGTTTGGTTTCGTTACACATCTCAAAATCGAAATACAAGTTTTAATAAAACAAAAAAACAAAAAATAAAAATAAACTACGTAAGCATGCTTTTTTCTCCTAAATTTCTTGCATTTCATTTAGTTTTTAATATATATTCTTATTTAAACTAATAATGATTTTTCTATTCAAATTTAAGTTATTTTATGCTTATTTAGATGAAGAGCCCTTTAGAGTTTGTAGCATTATTTGTTTCTTGAGACTGCTTCGATAAAATAAAGTTTCTCCCTCAAATCGTACGGTCCATTTTAATGCTAACCTATAAAATGTGCTCTTCTGGCGCACTTTGAAGGTTAGATGTTTGTGGT